AAAAAAAAAAAAAATCACAGACTTTTTTTACTTCCAAAGTCAATTAGCAGGAGTGCCACTGGGATGGTCAGTCAAACAAACCACTTTGTCTGCTGCTCCTAATCTCTTTGTGCTGTGAAAGTTTTGTTTTGAAAAGTTAACTCATATTATGGACAGCTGAATGTGTGAAACCTGCTTTGTAATTCCCATTCCAATAGATTTCTGATGGCTTTCTTTAACAGTGGCAATCTGTGCACCACTCCTCCATTTGACCTCTCCACAGCTTTATCCCTAGCTTGACTGCTGGGTTCCTTTGTCTTCATTATTCTGTTTGTTCACTAGTATTCTCTAGCAAATCTTCAAGTCCTTCACAGAACAGCCAAATTTATACAGAGGTCAAATTACACAGGTAGGACTCCATTTAGTAATCAGGTTCATTCTGAATGCAATGGGCAGCTGTAGAATTTATATACTGGTTTAAAAGTTCTAGTGCATACTTGAGAACTTATATTTGTAAGAAACTCTTAAAATTTCCTTGTAATTCTACTTCACTATTACATATTGCTTTGTTTTGGTTTCATCACAAAGAAATCTACATTAAATACATTGAAGTTTATGGAGATGGAGACAAGATATGTAAAAATTCAAGCAGTAGATCATTTCTGTGAGGTATATGCATTTGATTTTGAAAGCAGCTTGTTTATAGCTTTACGTGTTGTTTAATTTTTGAAAATAATGTTTTCTTATTTGCAAAAATAAATCCCTGAGACAATTTAACAAAACAATATGTGAATATTTAATTACTTAGTTCACACACTGCTTGAGCTTATCACGTCTGCAGCGATTATTGTGACTCATAAAAAAAATGCACAGGAAAAAAACCCCGATTTGAATAATTGTTATCGTCATGTGAATCTTGTCTGGTAAATTTAAGTTCATTGTCATTCAGGGAACAACAAGGCCTAAACTTTTCCAAGCTACCTACCTCCAAACTGAGACTAGTTAATTAGGACCATTATTGCTGTTATAAAACACTCTTCGGTTCTCTGCTGCAGTTTCATACGTCTCCTTTAGTTCATTAATATTTTGCTGAAGCTGTATCTTGGAAAATGTTCAGACAGCATCAGCACAGGTGCCTGTTGGTTTTCATCTTGGTTGATGATTTTATTATGACTGACATGAAAAGGCTGAGGCTCCCCATAACGACAGACGGCTTGTGTGATCTCAAAGCCACCCCCAACGTTCCCTCCCATCCTGTTTGCACGACAAAGGCCTGGATACTCACCTTGACCAAAACACTGCAGAGGCAGCCAATAAGGCTCCAGCGCTCTGCTCATATGCTCTGTCATTCTTACACCCTAATGTACGCTGTTTTTATTATGTCTTGCTTTAAGGTGCCTGGTTTGTGTGCTGCTGCAAAATATCATGTGGATTCAGAATGAATATTCAATTAATTTGTGTATTGCCGTTTTGCATGACGTAGTCAAAAGTTAATTCACCACTGCATTTGGAGCAGTAATAACATCATAATACTTATGATAATGTAATAAACAAACAACCACTGTGTTTGTCCTCATCAATACAATAATGATGATTTTGTACATTCTACACACATTTAAATATTTAAAACCTTGATCAATCGACGCTGAACTTTTGGTCATTTAGTCGTCTTTCCAGACTCATAGCCAGAATCCTTCAGTGACCAATGGAGACCAATACCAGCTCCTTGCAACAATGAAAGGATGAATATAATCAGCAGGGATGACCTAAAATAAAACCCAAAATCAACATCAAAAGCTCCTTTTCTATATCTTTGGTGCCAAAAAATGTACAGAGCCTGGAATGTCATCTTTGCATAAACTAACAGTTACGATAAGTTTATGCTTACAATTAAAGAATGCTGAAGTAAAGTTAATCAGGTTAGAAATCATTGTTTTATTGATTTGCTGATATATTTATGGAGCATCTGTCTACAAACTCTTTGTTCTTCTCTTGAAGGATCATTAAGTAGACATGAAAAGAAAACCTCTCAAGAGTCTGTGTGCTGGAGATCAAATGCAGTCTGCACACAAATCTTCTACCGATTCAAAGATTAACACATAAAGATCAGGCACTAAAGTTTTTTTTTTTTGTTTTTTTTTTTTTGGGGGGGGGGGCCTTTCACCCTAGCTTACTGCAGGGAAACAAAGATTTTAAATACTTTATTGATGCATACAAAAAAAAATGCAGGCATAATTACCCTGTAGTCACTGGCAGTGACAAAGAATATGGGTTGGAAAGCCAGCCAGATGATGCAGGTGGTGTACATTGTAAACCCGATGAACTTGGCCTCGTTGAAGTTTTCTGGACACTTCCTCGTCTTGAAGGCGTAGACGGTGCAGAGGATGATGAGGACGCAGTTGTAGGAGAGTGATGCGAGCATGCTGCTGTCCTTGCTGACACACTTGAGGGTGACCACGTCTCGTCTGTCCGGGTTAATTTCCTTCTGGATTCCGGGAAATTCAGCCAGGAGCCAGATAAGGGCCACAAGCAGCTGGCAGGAGATGAGACCACAGCATATCGCCACTTGGGAAGCCGGGCTGATGAAGCGCAGCCGCTGGGCTCCATCTCTCACACTGCTGAAGATCCTAGCAATGCGGTTGGTCTTTGTTAGCAAGGCAGAGTAGCATACAGCAAATGAGGTCCCCAAGCCAAGTCTTCGCAATGTGCAGACAGCAGTAGAAGGTTTTGCAATGTAGATGAAGGTCATGCTGTAGCACATGAGAACTCCCATTAAGAGGATGTAGGACAGTTCACGTCCACTTGCTTTGACTATAGGGGTTTCATTGTTCTTAACAAAAATGCCCACAACTGCCAGAGTACACATTATGCCAAGACAGGAGATTGTAACAGGCCCGATAGCCCAAGCATCCTCCCAGTGGATGTACTCTTCAGGCAGATCATAACACCCGGTCAAATTAGCCAACGGCCACTGACCAAGACCGCAGTCAGCACAGGTGTGCTCATCATGCAGGTACTGGTAGGACTGGCATGGAATGCATATCCAGCAGCACATGTCTCCAGGCTGCATGCTCTTCACCTCATTCCTTTTGCATGGGTCACTGCACTGGGAAGTGGGAGTAGCTACGCCAAACCAAGGTATCGAGCTGGTGTTCAGGATCAATATGTTGTCCCAGTAGCCAACTTTCCTATATAGAAACTTGCCCTTTTCTTTGTGGTAGTTAAAGATGTTGTAGCGACTGATGCTGTCGCCCATAGTATCAAAGCGCACCATGCTGTCTGTGTCCGCGGGTCTGAAAGGAGCTGGTGGAAGGCAGAAAGACAGCAGTGCATAAAGTTATTTTCAGTAATGCTAAATATAACATTTCTGTGTAGAGCTGACTTTGCAACTAGATATTATTCTTTTTCAAAAAATAAATACTACAGCTGTTTTGGGAAATTAATCTGTTTAAATAATAACAATTATTAATGCAGATCTAGTCTAGATTACTTTCTTCCCTCCGAATATGACTTGACCATTAGTTATGACTCCAATCCTGACATCTCCTCTCTCTTCTTTCTTTATAGTCTTTTTACTTTCCAACTCTGGTCACATAGAATGTCACACTCATTGGGAAAGCTCATTCATAAAAACACAGTAATCCAGCAGAGGCTGCATGTCTTATTGCTTTTGCCGCGACAGTAAACACAAAATGGAAAGTTTTCTCATCAGGCTTTAGCATTAAGAGTTTCCTACTCAGTAGGGTATAACTTATCCACCTTATTTCTCAATCATATTTTGCTTTGAATTTCAGAAGTTTGTTGAAGACTTCTGAGCAGGTATTCATGCATCCATCCATCTTCTTCCGCTTATCTGGAGTTGGGTTGTGGGGTTAGAAGCCTAAGTAGGGACGCCCAAACTTCCCTCTAGCTACTCCAGGGAAATCCCAAGGTATTCCCAGGTCAGCCGAGAAACATAGTCCCTCCAACGTGTCCTGGGTCTTTCCCGGGGTCTCCTCCCTGTGGGACATGCCTGAAAGACCTCACGATTGAGGTGTCCAGGAGGCATTACAACCAGATGCCTGAGCCACCTCAACTAGCTCCTCTCAATGTGAAGGAACAACGGCTCTACTCTGAGTTCCTCTGGGATGACCGAACTTCTCACCCTATCTCTAAGGGAGAGCCCAGACACCCTACAGAGAAAACTAATTTTGGCCGCTTGTATCCATAACCTCATTCTTTCGGTCATGACCATAGATGAGGGTAGGAACATAGATCGACCGGTAAATCTGTTGATCTCCCGCTTCATTTTTTCCAAATTTGTGAACAAGATCCCGAGATAAACTCCTACACTTGGGGTAGGACATCCTCCCCGACCCAGAGAAGGCACTCTACCCTTTTCCAGATCAAGACCATGGCCTCGGATGTGGAGGCACTGATCCTCATCCTGGCCGGTTCGCACTTGGCTGCGAACCGCTCCAGTGAAAGTTGTAGCTCATGACCTGATGAAGCCAACAGGCTGCTTTTTGCAGATGATGTGGTAATGAACAGAATTGGTGACAAAGGGCAGCCTTATCGGAGTCTGACTCTCACTGGAAACAAGTCCAACTTACTGCTGGCAATACGGACCGGACATCGGTTATACAGGGACCGAGCAGCTTGTATGAAAGGGACATTTTGTGGCAATCGGCAAGCTTCTGCCATAATTCTGTCTGGATACTATCAGAACTGACAGAACCCATTTCAACTGGTTGCCATCCTGGCACTGAGCCAACTTTTAAGCATGCAATAACACAAAAGATTTTTTTTTTCTGAATTAAACTTCTAAAAATATTCATGCCCATAACAAGTGACGGTACACTTTTCACCTAAATAATATTTTAGTACTTACAGTTCAACTCTTGCATGTTACCACGTTAGACTAAGATATTTTGTACCTGTGTTTGCTGTCGGGAGTTTGCTCACCTTCAAACTTGGTCTTCAGGATGAACTCTTTGTAGAGCCTTTTTCCATTACCTGGTTTCAAGGCCTCACAGCCCTTAGATGTGTTGGAGCATACTGCTTGCCTCATGTTATGCAGAGCGTAGGCCATGGCATACACAGCGTTCACCACAAACATGATCTTGGACTCGTGCTCAAAGGTTCTGTCTCGTAAGCTGTGTTCACTGCAGCTGGCCTCCTGAAGGCTGCAGGCGAAGTGGTGCTCCCAGAACTCCTTAAACCATGGGTTCCTCGTGTTGGTGTATGGGTTCAGCTTTGTGAAGTAGTCTTGAAACTCTCTGATTGGGTAGGAGGCCAGTTCAATGGTGAAAGCCCCATCTGCTGCAGTCTCACTGCCCCTCACGACACTCTCTTGTGCTCCCCATCCATCACTGGCCACCCAGATAAATGAGGTGTTCATTCGAGCAGCAGCTGACAGCAGTTCGCGGGCGTCCTCGCTGCGGGTGAACAGTATCACCACCTTAGCACTGGACTTCTGCTTCAGAGAGCGGATCACATTCTCGTAGCCCTGCCGGTTCATGGAGCGGCTCACTTTGGCTGACGTGGCGATGCAGATTTGGTGCTCGCGGGCCTCCTGTTGGAAGGCATCGATGCCAGTCTCGCCATAGTCACCCTCTGATGCAACTGTCGACACATAGGACCAGTTGAAGTACTGCAGGATGTCAGCCATGGCCTTGGCCTGGTAGAAGTCTGGGGGCACAGTGCGGGCGAAGTAGTCATAGCGAGACTTGTCACTGAGCTTCGCACTGGTGGAGGCGTAGCTGATCTGAGGAATTTGGAACAGGCGTAGGAGGTTGGCCACCTGAAAAAGTGGAACAGAATTTTTTTATGGCTTTCTTTGCAACTTTTAAAAACATTTATTATATAAGCCTTTACAGAGGAAAAATCTTTTGAGATTCACTGTGCGATTTACAAGACAGACTTGTTACATACATCACAAAGAACATAAAAACAATAGTACATTTTTTTTTTTTTTTTGCCATACATCCCATTTTGACTGTAGATTAAAATTAATATGCTTTAGGTCATTACATAGAAGTCAAATAAAATACATTAAGATTTGTGTTTGAAATGTGACCAAAAATCTCAGACCATATAAATAAGTTTGTCAAGTAACTGTATCTCAAGGATCCTTTTTCTGTTAGGCCTAGTTTTTACCTTGCAAATGCATCTATGTTGCAAGTGCTTGCAAGTGCTTCTATGTTATATGAATATTTATGTATCATTCCTTTAACCTTTATTTACTAAGTTTAGTAGACAAAGGAAAAAATAGACAATATTAAAACTCAATAATTTAAAACTGTTGTGATCCGTGTTATTCTGTGTAGTTATTTTGAGATTTTCTGTGTTTAGTCCTGTTTCCCTGTGAGTCTCTGTCCTCTTCCCTGTTGATTATTCCCAGCTGTGTCTAGTTCCCTGATTAACCTCTGTGTATTTAAGCCCACCTGTTGTCTTTGTCCTTGTCGTTTGTCGCAAGTCAGATTCCAGTCATTCAGTAGAACTGTGTAGTCCTGGTGTGCTGCGGTGGCGCAGGGGTTAAGCACAACCCACATAGGGAGGCCTCAGTCCTCGACACGGGTGTCACAGGTTTGATTCCTGGCCTGGCGATCTTTGCCACATGTCTTCCCCTTCTCTCTTTAGCCACTTTGCTGTCAGTTAACTATCAAATAAAGGCCACTAGAGCCAATAAAACCTTAAAAAAAAAAAAAAAAAAAACCTGTGTAGTCCTCGGTGTCTAGTCGTCACAGTAGAACTGGCTTAAGTCCTGTGTCGGCGTCAGCTCTCGTGCTTCAGTCGTTTGCTACCAGTTTTAGCTCTGTTACCTTTCACTGTGCTGCCTACTTGTTTGGACTGTTTGAGCTGAGTTCGTTAAATTCATCATCTTCTGTACAACCTGGGTCCTGCCAGCGTTTCTCTCTCACCACCTCACCTCAATTTCATGACAAAAACAGGTTTTTCTTATTTAGTACAGCAAATTACAGAATCTGCTAACATTGCATGCATGTAGCACTCTCTATCATTCTTATCATTGTTTCTTTTATCAAATTTAGAACAAGACAAATACTTTTTTGAAAAGCCCTGCAGCTCATTGAGTGTTGCTGTTGCTATCTCTGCAGCCTCTTTCACTTTTCATCAAATTTATAAAAACACAATTTATGTCATGTCTCGTTTGTGCCATATTTTGTCCAATCATCCATCTTTTATTATGCCAAAGTATGTAAATAATGCTGTTGAGTTTTCTTTGTAGCCTTTTCCTCACTGATCACTTTTGTGCAACGTCATTCATTTGATCCTTCGTTATCTCTGTAGAAACTACGGCTTTAGCTACACAAAGCAAATGAGATCATGTCTGTTTTTTGACTTCAGATGGATTCGTTACCACTGGTACTAAGTGTTCAGTCAAAAAGACTCAATTCTAAATTTTAATTGAAAAGTGTTCATTTAACAGTGTGCATACTATATTTGGAGAAGTACACCTTTTAAAATTCAGCGGTGACAACGTGTTTTTTTTATCTCAAACTTTTTTTCTGTCAAGAAATGTCGGTTTTGAACGAGGCCGCAGAATCACAAAGTGCCTTCATTGGGTGTTAATATAAGCAGCTGTTCACACACAAGGATTTTGAGAGTACATTTTTCTATACAGCTTTTGTTTGTTTGTTTTTTTTTTCAAATCAAGTAGTGTTATCTTGAAATACCTTTGCGTCCTTCTACCCAGACTAATATATTGATTTTCTTGTGAGTTTGTTGGCGCTGTGGCCACTGGGGTGAACAACAAATCCTTTTCTGAAACCTCAGTGTGCAATCCATGTTAAACACAAACCTGCTGAAATAATTGTCATGCACGGTTGAAACAAGAAATCTCTGCAATTACTTGCTCACAGAGCAGTGTAGAGGCATGACAGAGAGTCTGTAAAAACTTGTCATTCTGCAGCATACCTCAGGAGACACAGTAGTGATTAGTGAGAACCCATGGGCTTCAATATGGCTGCTTCCTCCCTCAAGCATCATTGTATGCCTGGAGGTCTTCCAAACAAGGCTTCCCCACGGATCTAATTGGAAGCGTCTACACTCACACTGAGTGCCATTCAGCTCACTCATTCTGCCATCACATTATAGTCTATTTACAGCAGAATCGCTGTTTTTTTAATTCCCTTCGGTTGTTATTTAACAACCTATTCTGGAATGTCAATCAGTTAGGCCACTAATTTTAAATTAACAGCGATCTCATGTATTTGCCGAGGAGCTCTCCTTAAATGTCATCGGCTTATTAAATGAACTTTAGCAATTGAGTCAGACGAACATGAGAAGGATGTGCCATTTTTTGTCTCTGGAGAGACTCAGTCACACGTTATTATTTCCATTTTTTTTTAATCAGATTGCAGTAATACATTATGCAAAATCAACTTTATGAGCTGCATGTCATGTTACAACATCATTTCCTCATCAAACACATGCACTGTGTACCCAAAGCTCCACCCTGGAGCTGCAGTCTCCAGTCAAATTCCCACCCCTCACAGTACCCCCTCGCCCACTCGGCTCCTTTAAACTAGCGGCAGCAGCAATTAGCAAAAACCTGGTGGAAATGAAGCCAAAAGCACAAGTTCAAGCTGGAAGACTCCGCCTCCGATGTTTCGCCATCGCTGCGTCATGCTCGTCTCCAACTCGGCCGCTTGGCAAGTCCAATCATCAACGCCGTCAGCTTTCCAGCTGCGTTCAAGTTGGTACGCAATCACAATGTCTGACTTTGAGTCTAATCCTCCCGGTTCCCCATTTGCTTCTTGTCGGGATCCTGGTCCTTCTTCCCCCCTCATCCGTTCGGCGCACCGCTCGCCTGCCCTCGCGTCCGGATCATTTGTCCCCGGCTTCTATTCTCAGGTCCAAAGGGATCTCTCTCCAGGCCTCAGTTCTCTGCAAGTGGCGTCCCTAGCCACCCTTCTGCCACCTGATGATGCTTCTCTGTCTCTTCTTTCTCGACCTGCTCCCGTTTCTCAGCCCCCACATCCGGTTAGCAGGAAGAGAACTGATAAATCCTCCACTCCCCCCGCCAAATGACGCAAGGCTCGCCCTTTCACCCGGATG